GTCCCTAGGGTCCCCTTGCTCCATGTTGGCAGAGTGTATAGGAAGTCCCAAGGCTTTGGATCCCTGCCATCATTTATGATCTCTCTCTCTCTCTTCTCATAGGTGCCCATTACTTCAGAAGTGGACATGGCCCTCGTGCCGGTAAGGAGAGCATGTCTCAGGCTGTCACTGCTCAGGACCTTGTGTCGGACCAAAGAACCCTTAAGAAACCCAAGCGCAGGGTCCTGATTCAGTGTTGGCGGGGAGCGGGTGGGTTGGGTTCCTGGAAGTAGTTCCTAATGAAAAGAAACAATAGAACGAGGTTGACCCAGACACTGGGGTGCCTAAATGCTGGGGCATGAGTCTGACATCGTTCATAGATCATCCCCCCCCCCAAAAAAAAGTGTTTTTTTCTCCTGAGGAAACTGAAAGCAGCAGGCTAGGATTCAGACCTGAATGAATCTCAGTATCTGCTTTAGAGTGACCAGAGCAAAGGGACATTGAGAAAAAGGAAAGGAAGGGGGAGGAATTTCCTCTAAGGTTAGTCCCATCAGCCTCTGTGGGTTGTGTAGCATGGAGAAAGAAGTTGTTGTGAGGCAGGCAATAAGACGACTCTGGAGGACGCTGCTGTATTAGTCCCGGTGAGTGTTAATAGTGACTGGACCAGGCTGAAGGTGGAGGAGAAATGCTAGGGGTCTAGATTAGTTTTGAGATTAGTGCTTCGTAGAGTCTCAGAATTTAAAGAGGGTTAGTTAATAGTCAGAGATTGGTTCAGGCTCTAGGCCAGTGGTTCTCAACCTTCCTAATGCTGTGACCCTTTTTAATACAGTTGCTCATGTTGTGGTGACCCCCAAGCATAAAATTATTTTCATTGCTACTTTACAACTCTTAATTTTGCTACTGCTATGAGTCATAAATTGGAACTCTGTGTTCTCCGATGCTCTTGGGCGACCCCAGTGCAAGGGTTGTTCAAGCCCAAGGGGGTCGAAACCACAAGTTGAGAACTGCTGCTCTAGGAGTTTAAGATCTAGAAGGATGGAAACTCCATCAATGGAATGTAAAGTTGGTATGTAGGTTCATTTTTATCAAGAACTTTTTTTTTGTTTTTGTTTTTGCTTTTTTGTTGTTGTTGTTTTTCTTTTTTCTTTTCTTTCTTTTTTTTTTTTTTTTTTTTTTGTTTTTGGTGTTTCGAGACATGGTTTCTCTGTGTAGCTTTGGAGCCTATCCTGGCACTCACTCTGGAGACCAGGCTGGTCTCCGACTCACAGAGATCCGCCTGCCTCTGCCTCCCAAGTGCTGGGATTAAAGGCGTGCGCCGGCAATGCCCTGCATTGTTGTTGTTTTTCGAGGCAGGGTTTCTTTGTGACCTTGGAGATTGTCCTGGAAGTAGCTCTTGTAGACCAGGCTAGTCTCGAACTCACAGACTAAAGGTGTGCTCCTCCACCACCACCAGGCCAGAACATTTTTAAATTGCTTTTAGCTACTTTTAAATTATTTCAAAAATCAATGAAGGGAGACCTCATGTGGATGGGTAACCTTATAGGTCTGGAATTTGGGAAGTGGCTTAAGATGGATATATCCAAAAATTTGCTGGTCAGTATTTAGCCAGAGATGTGTGTGTTGTAATTGGGAATAGTTCTGTTTTTCATAGTAGTAATAATGAAAGCTCAGGAGAGTTGTGGCTATGAATGAGTCTTGAATACCTAGGTAGAAGTGATAGACATTAGAAACACAATTGTGAGAGAAGTTGAGGTCAGTCGACAGGGGAAAAGAGTATGATCAATGTTTCTAAGGCATAGGACAATACGGTAGTCACAGTGCCAGCATTACGAAGTAGAACGTCCCCCGAGGCCAGGACTGAATGGTTTTGTCTCCTCCAAGTTCAGTTGTTGAATCCTAATCTGTGTGGCCTTTGAGAGGTAATTAGATTGTAAGCATAGATCCCTTTCATGTGGGATTAGTGAGTGCCCGTGTAGCAAGATGCCAGGGATCCAGCTAATGCTTTTTCACACCGTTAGAGAATACCGATGGAAATAAGTGGTCTATAACCATGGAACAGGGCCTGCCAGGAATTGCCAAGAATGGCTCCTTGCCATCAGACTTAAAGCCTTCAGATCTGTGAGAAGTACATTCCTGTCATTCATAAGCCACCCAGTAGACAGTATGTTGTTAGAGCACCCGAACTAAGATATCAAGAGTAGTGCCTGTTCTTCATGCTGTAGGGTTATTGCAAGTTTGTTTTGATCCTGTGTATGTCTACAGGTTTTCATTTCAGGCCGATAGGAAATTTAAGGGACACAAGTCTGCATCTGTGAGCTACTGAATATGGGCTAGAGAGCCGTTGTGGTTTTGAACCACTTAGCAGGGGTGATTAAGAGCAAAGGTGAGGCCGTGATAGTCCAGGGGATGTGAAGGTCAGCGGAAATAGAAGACGATGGTGTGTGCGATGGCAAGTGATCCTGGATGGCTGTGATTGACACAAAGAATACGTGGTCTTTGGAGCCGGGCCCTGGGCTGCTTGTGGCAGGCAGGGACATTGGGAGGAGGTAAGGGTGAAGGGTGAACTCATATCTGAGCGTATCTAAGAGGGTCCATCAGGAGGACCCCTGCACAATTGTTTGGCAGGAAGAGATATAGCCCTTCATGCCAGTTTAGATGGTGTCGTTGTGTCTGCTGCTCCGTGCTATGCACCCCAGTACTGGAACTATTGAACTATAAATGGCTACTATGGCATTGGGACCTGGTATTGCTTTGAGGTGCGAATGTGGGCAGGAAGGAGAACAAATAAGTGGTAATTCCCTGGGTATCTTTGGCAATATGGGGATGAAGTTGACTGTGGAATAACCTGTCCCTATTATAGCAGGACTGTGTGACTTTTGAAGATGTGGCCATTTGCTTCTCACATGAAGAATGGAGACTTCTGGACAAGGCTCAGAGGCACCTGTACGTCAGTGTTACGATGCAGAACTTTGCACTTATAAACTCCCTGGGTAAGGCTCTTACATTCCCCTAGTATCCTGAGACCCTCAGTCCTCTTTCCCAGAGGCAGACTGATCCTTTCCACAGCCAAACCTTTGAGAGCTGTTGACTTCTACGTTTGCTGGGTATAGAGATGCTATGTGTTGTAACATCAAGCTGTGTCTGCTACCCCCAGTAACCTGCTGCTTATTGTGGTATGGGAGTTGGGCCTCCCGTAGTCATCCTAATTTATGGGTGTCGTCTTGCTTGTCTTGTCTCTAGCTGTGTGTAAAATCCTGAGAATTGGCATCACACATCCTTCCCCTTGAATAGCTGCCTTTTTCAGGGCTGCCTTTGGCATGGTTGCAGTTTGGATCCATGGACTGTTCTTTCTGGATCTTCCGTTTTGGATGTTTAAAAGCTAGTCTTTCCTTTCCTGGTATCTAAGGTGATCTCTCTCTCATGAGATACTGTCTCAGTACTAACCACCTGTTATTTCTTTTCTTTCCTGTGGACCTTGTTTCACGGGGTCACATGTAATAACAACAATGGGGGTAAAAGGGAGAAATCTGTTTCTTTTGAAAAGTCAACATGGCTTCATAGGCCGTCTGAGTGTGGTAAGTGGCAGCTGGAGGAAGGCATAACATCCAGGCCATCTTCAAAAACATCCTGTATCCACCACAGGTTAGGTTAAGTGCTACCAACCAAGCTCGTTTTTATATTCTCTTTCCCAGATATGGTAGTTTTCTGTTTTCTCCCTTATTTTATCAGTGATCTCTAGTTCCTGGGTATCCCTGTTCTGGTCTCTGTGCATCTCCTGTTCCTCTGAGCTGTACTCTTTCTCTATGGATTCCACCACAATGTCACGCAGAAATCTGAGCACATGCTATTCATTTTCAACTGGGGCGAGTTCCCTAAGCTTGCACACAACCTGCCTTCTGCAGAGCGTATACGTACCACTGGCAGATGGCATCCTGCTAAAATCTGGGTGTGAAGTTCTAGGCATTTGGAGGCTACTCCATGATGAATGTCTGGCCACTGGGTTAACAATACATTAAGGCCATGGGTAGAAGAATTAGGCATCTTTCTCTGTGGTTCATGCCATCTTGGTAGCCTTCGTTCGGTGAGGCCTTCTCAATTCTGTTTTCTTTAGCCACCTAATAGGCCAAGGCAACTCCACCCTTAACCCACCCCTAGAGCTCTCTTGTGTTCAGGAGAAACAGTCTGTGGCATGTATGGATGCTGGGGCTTCCTCTTCTGAACATACTCAACGTTCATTTCAGCAGTAATTCTCTTTCAGGTTGTGGGCACAGAAGAGAAGATGAAGAGCCAAGAGTTTCTGCAGGAGCATCACAGGTTTGGCTATCTGAGACAACTCCATCTATACCCAAAACTCACCTCTGTGAAAAGTGTTTCCCGATTCTTCAAGACATTTTCCACCTGCCTGATCTACCTGGGCAGAAGCATACTGGAGAGCCATGTCCAATATTTGATCAGCACCAAAAACATACTAGTATAGAAAACCACTTGAAGAATAATGCTCACAAGGACCCGTACTTGAAACAATGCCTATTCCATATGTCAGCAAAGTCCTTCCCCATCTGGGATGTTGAGAAGGACCTCCTAGACATACTGAGCCTTCTGAAGTTTCAGGTCTTTCCCAGCACTGAGAAGCCCAGTGAAAGCACTGAGGCTGGGAAAGAAACTCACGGTCATATAAATCCCATGTCAGGAGACTGTGGGGAGCAAACACTAGTTCACCAGCTGAACGCCTCTAACGTGAAAAAGCTTTGTGAGTGCAGCAAATGTGGGGAAAGCTTCCGTGGCAAGTACTCGCTTGATCAGCATCAAAGAGTCCACACTGGAGAAAGGCCGTGGGAGTGCAGTGAGTGTGGGAAAGTCTTTAGCCAAATCTCGCACCTGAATGATCACCATCGAATGCATACCGGAGAAAGGCCTTACGAGTGCAGCGAATGTGGAAAATTATTTAGACAGAACTCCAGTCTTGTTGACCACCAGAAAATTCATACCGGAGACAGACCTTATGAGTGTAGCCAGTGTGGGAAATCCTTTAGTCAGAAAGCTACCCTTGTTAAACACCAGCGCGTTCACACCGGAGAGAGGCCATACAAGTGTAGCGAGTGTGGGAATTCCTTCAGCCAAAGTGCCATTCTTAACCAACACTGGAGAATTCACACTGGAGCAAAGCCTTATGATTGTTGCCAGTGTGGGAAGTCCTTTAGCCAAAAAGCCACCCTCATTAAGCATCAGAGAGTTCACACGGGGGAGAGGCCTTATCAGTGTAGTGAGTGTGGGAAGTCCTTCAGTCAGAGCTCCATCCTCATTCAGCATCGGAGAATTCACACAGGAGCGAGGCCCTATGAGTGTGGCCAGTGTGGGAGGTCCTTCAGCCAAAGGTCTGGTCTCATTCAGCATCAGGTAGTTCACACTGGAGAAAGGCCTTACGAAAGTGACATATGTGAGGATTCTTCTAGCCAATGCTCTAGCCTCATTCATGACCAAAAATATCACAGTGAGTAAGTAACCTCATCAAAGGAGCCAATGTGGATAAGCCAAGGCCTGACATCATTTAGCTCCTCCAAATCCGTGCTTGAGAAAAGCCTTAGACTTAAAAGGAATGCCCTCTTTCAATATCATGACACTAGAGAACCTTCTGAGGTTGATCTTAGTTCTGCCCACATCCAGGGGTGTGAGATTACTTAGGAGTTCAGGCATGGGTGGGCTCAGGAGCTGCTTTGCCCATGCTTGAAAAGGCCAGGGTCCTTGCCGTTTAGGTCGGTACCAGTGTTTGTGGTAGAAGCCATCTTTCTCTACTGCATAACCAGAGTGCACTGATCACGCCGCCATGCGGAAAGAAAGGCAAATTGTCTGTGCTGCTTGCCTGGTGGAACTCTTGAATGGAGTATTTATGGAGAATTGGTTCTCCATTTTTACTGCTTAAAGCATGGCTACACCTGGACTTTTACCAGGAAGATCTACCCTATTGTCTGCTGAAGGTGGCTACAATTTGCTTACATGTAAGTAGCCATGTCTTTAGTAGCCCCATGTTGTTCCAATCAGGGGACCTGACACTTAACCCGCTTCTTAAAAAAAAAAAAAAGCAGTTTTGAAATCAATGTCACATGAAAGTTGGGTGAATGTTTCCAGCCTTCCATTTACCAGTTGGTCACTGCCTTTTTCCCATTGCTCTGGTTTGTATCTAGATAGATGCCTTATTCCAAAAGTTACCTTTACTCTTTGAGTCCAGTTTACTAGTGGGAAGGCTGGAAAACAGACTGAGGTTTCCTAAGAGGCTGGACAGCTTTTGTGGATGTCTCAGCTTGGTATACCTCTGCAGGGAAAAAGCAGACCTGCATGGCTGCCCAAGCGATGCAGGGCTGTCATTATTGGAGCTTATGATATGGAAATTTTCCGTGCTCATCTGCTGTACTAGTGGCTATGGAATGACTTTGCTCTATTTTTCTCAGAGGATGTCCTCAAAATGCCCATGGCACGGAAAAGAGGCAGCGTGTGAGGGTCTACAAAGCACGTACCCCAATAGGAATGATTCCCTAGGCTGGCATCACTCGGGAAATCACCAGATCCAGGTGGGAAACATTGAGCATACAAAGGATGGGTCTGGCGGAGTCTGCAGCTAGCCAGACGGAATACTGTAAAAGTACTCTTGTAAAAAGGCACCCGGCAGTCTTTTGTCTTTTGCTGTGTTCACAAGGCCTAGAGATCTGTGTATGTACAATAGCTGAGGTCATTGTCCAAAACGTAATCTAAGGTTTTGTGGGAGAGCGTGGTCTTTTCTTGATTGTTTCCCTCAAATCTGTTGCTATAGAGATATGAGCTGGAGATCCTGTAGGCCAGGAATGTAGCTGTTGTAATCACAGTCCAGCTGCTGTACTGGCAGTCTGGTGTGACCACCCTCCTGGCTTCTCATTATCTCCTGCATTAACAAAGGGCCTGTCCTTACCCATGCCTGAGGACAGAGTGGGATCATAATGGAGGCTACCAAGCCATCTGGTTTCCAGAAAGTAGGAGTTCTGAGTGTTGCATTTTGAGTCACTTTTTATAGTTTATCGATGTGCCAGTGAAATGCAGTCATCTCTAGGGTTTGTTCTTTGAAAAGTTGTATGCTCATCATTGTGATGGTGACCTTGTCTCTGGTTTACCTCATAACCTCTTACAATCTTTCCCCAGACTATGTGTTCAGTAGTTTATAGTTGATCACAAAAGTCCAGTTTGTGAATGAAAACAAAAGTTGCTTTTTATCCCCTAGGTATTTTTGGCAATACATAATTATTTTAAGATCCATCACTGCTGCTTTTTTAATATCCTGTCCTTTATATTGCAATGCTGTGCTTGATTTTTACAACTACGACACTACCCATTGATTTTTTTTTTTTTATCCATTCAACTCTTGGTGGATACTTAAGTTGAGTCCTTTCTTGAGCTGTTACATAGAAGGCCACAAAGATAAAGGAGTATGACTCATTATGCATATATAATCTAGATTGCTATAGACCAGTGGTTGGGTCTCAACCTTCCTAATGCTGTAACCCTGTATGTAGTTCCTCATGTTTCGGGGACCCCTAACCACAAAAATAGTTTTGTTGCTATTCCATGAGTGTAATTTTGCTACTTTTATGAACCATAATGTAAATATTTGTTTTCTGATGGACTTAGGCAACCTCTGTAAATGGGTTGTTCAACTCCAAAGGGGTCGTGGCCCATGGTTTGAGAACCACTGATCAGGACAGCTTGTGAGCTAACTTGTCCCCACTCTTGCTAGTCTTTGGTATGGATAATGTATTCAGTTTGGGCCATTTAAATAGGTGTATAATAACATATAGTATAGTCTTAATTGTGTTTTTGGTGTTTCAGAATATTGAATATTTTATGTGTTTATTTGCCAACTGTGTTTTTAAAACTTTTTCTTTTTGCCTATTTGAGTGGAAATTGGTGTTACTGTGATTTTCATTAATAAATAGATATACACTAACATTACGTATTAAGACTTCATTCATTCTTCAGTGGTTTGACGACTAGTCCTTGGTAAGTGAGAAAAGTGTTTTCGAGTACTAGAACAGTATTTTAAAAGTATTTCTCTTTTATTCACAGTGTAATAGTCACAGGCACTTTAGTCTTTAGGCATTGTCTGTTCCCTGTCTCTTAAGTCTAGCCATTTCCAAACAAGCAAGTACTGGTTTGAATATTTAATTGCATTCCTACCATGTTCAATGCCCAGCTGCCACAGGGATATCAAATACTGAGTTGGGAAGAGAGATGCAATAGCAGGTTGCTTTTTATCATCATATTGGTGCAATAGTCACGGATTACCTGAAGAACATAAATCCGTAAATAAAACATTAGAAAATGACAACTTTTGATTATTACCTTTGCTTTTTGTTCCCCATTGTTTTAGTTTTTTTATTTCGTTTTACATTCCAAACACAGTTGCTTTTGAAAGAGAATTTAGTTGGGGTGTAATCATGTTAACCATATTTTGTATATATACCTTGTTTCTGTTTTAATTTACACGCTTAAAACTAAGTTTCCTTCTACTCACTGTAAAGAGCGGAGAAGGCTCTGTGATCTAGAGAAATACTGAAAATATAATAGTAAAGAGGCAAAAGAGGCTAAAACCAGAAGATACTATCAAAGGCTTGCACAACCGATACCTAAACGATAACTTGTATAATGTGAAAGGCTGAGGAAGAAGAAAAGAGAGACAAGACTGACAAAGATGGAGAAACATGGTAATGGAGAAAGTCCTTGAGTTCTATATAGGATTGCAAATCACACACTCCGAAGCTGGAAGGCTCAAGTGTCCAGCAGAATGGGTGCACTCCCTAAATCAGCGGTTCTCAACCTTCTTAATGCTGTGACCCTTTAATACAGTTCCTCATATTGTGGTGACCCCAACCATGACATTATTTCCATTGCCATTCCACAGCTGTAAATGTGCTACTGTTGTGAACTATAATGTAAATATGTGATATACAACTCCTGTGAAAGGGTTGGGCAACCTCTACAGGAATTGTGACCCACAAACTGAGTGAGAATCACTGACTTTAAAGGGGAGGTAGGTCTGTATGAGCCAGAAGGGTCAAGGATACCAGGGTAACACAACCCACAGAATTAACTAAACAGGGCTCACAAGCGCTCAAAGAGACTGAAACTGCAACCATGGAGCCTGCATGGGTCTGCATCTGAGGGTCTGCATACATGCTGTTGTGGTTTAGCTCTGGGGTTCTTGTGGACTCCTATCCGTGGGGGTGGAGTCCCTCTGTTTTGCCTGCTTTCCCTCCTACTGGGTTGCCTTGTCCAGCATTGATAAGAGGGTATATGCCTAGACTAATTTCATCATATTTTACTAAGTTAGGTTGATGTCATTAGGAGGTGTGCTCTTTTCTGAAAGGAACAGAGGAGCCATGGACTAGGGGGAAGGGTTCATGGGACTAGGGAGGAAGGAATGGCTGCAGTCCAGATGTACATTGTGGGAGAAGAATAAATAAGTTTAAACTACAAAAAAAAAAAAAAAAGAAAAGAAACCAAGTTTCCTAACACGCTTTTTAATCAATTCATCTAAGTGTCAAATGGGTATATGGATATTTTCATATATGTGAATAATAAAGATTATGTGATGAGACACTGAATCCTTACAAATGAATTGCAATTAAGTGTGCATATATAGATACATGCATATTACAAAGTAGTAAAGGGACCAGCTCCCCATTTCGGCAGCCATAACAGCCGAACATGTGCTTGCTTGACCTTGCCTTGGTCACTAGACAGTCAGACGCCTGCCTCGTGGCAAGGAACCAATCAGAAGTTAGCTGGTGGCGCTATGCTTTACGGCTCTGGGTGTGCTTTACGGACAAGTGCACAACAATGACGCATAGAGCATAGCTACTTATTCCCCTAGCAGATGGTCTCACTCTGTGCACATACAGTTTATCCTAAGTGCACTGGGTAGGTGTTAAATTAAATTGAAATACCGACCTACAACATATTTAACCACCATGGATTAATGCTGGATATCAACAAAAACATGAATAGCAGAAAGCTTACAAACTCATGGAAACTGAACAACCCTCTACTGAATTTAAGAAATTAAAGACTTTCTAGAATTGCATGGAAATAAATATACAACATACCCAAAATTATGTGGCCCAGTAAAGGCAATTCCAAGCTCATAGCACTGTTTAAACAGTTGAAGCTTCTCTCTTCCCCATGAACCATTCGAAATTTCAGGCCTAACGTTGCTCCTTTAATTGTAGGTGAAATGAAGTCAGTTATTCCAAGTCTGTATTTCCATGCCCTGATGCCATCTATGCACGTGGGCTGTCGGTGAGACCATGCCAACTCTTTATGTTGGTATGTGGGGCAACTAGAACCCTTCTCATTTTTCAAATAGGTGGCATATTCCTAACAGGAAATTAATGTATCTCAGTTTGAGGGCCAAAGGATACCATCTACATAAAGAGTGTTACTTCTCTGCTTGGATGCCATACACATATAGGTGCCTCTGTTCACAACCTGCTTTTCGAATATTCTGATACCCGGCCCCACCCCCTGGCTTTCTCCTGGGGCTGTCCTTGCTGGAATTTATCACCAAGGAAAGCCAAGGAATTGCTCCACATTAGTCAACATGGGAGCTCAAGTGTCCCTCCAAAATTTCTCTCTAAAAACCATTCTTCCTCTTTATGGCTTGGGAATCATCCTCATCATTGACCTTAAACAACTGACTTAAAGCTTTATACTTTACTAATTTCAACAATGAAACCATAAGGGTGGTCAGTTAATAATACCCTTACTGACTTTGATGTGTGTGCCCTTAATTCGTCCCAACATTTTCACTCCTTGTTCTCTCTCAGACGAAGGCGGTCTCGCTATTCTTAGCGAGGTTCTGGGCTCTTCCCCAGAACTTCCAGTCAAGGCACACAGTTTAGACCCCCAGTGATGCCCCCTCTTGGGCCGATTTTCGCTGAAGGAACTACATTGCCCAGAATCCTGTGTGCCTGCTGGAAGCATTTCCTTTCAGGCGGGACCTCCGGAATCTTCTCGGCATCGGGCACATTGGCAGGCAGTTCTATGTCCCAAACTTTGGTACCCTTCCCGAGTTGGCAGACGCCGGAAGTCACAAAAGGAGACACTCAGTTGCCACTGCGGGAGCACCGGGCACTGGCTGGCTGGCTCCGGGGCCAGGTGACAGCGGTCCCTGCTCGCGCAGGTGGGTCCTAAATTCTCAGACCTTCACCTGTCATCCCGACCTCTAATCACAAATCCGCAAGTGGCTCCAGGGCAGGGGACCCGTGTGGGTGGGAGGACTAAGGTTTCTGACCAGCGGTGGAATGCAGGGGGAGGGGATGGCAAAACAAAACACAACCAGAGCAGAGGCTTGGAGAGTGCAGGGAACAGGGGAAAACACCCCACTCCCCCTGTTAGGCCCCCTTCTGTCATCAGATTTTTTCCAGTCATTCCCTCAGTCATTCCTACCCTGCCTGCCATGAACTGTATCATTTGGGAACTAAGGAGCAATTTTTTTTTTTTTGCAGATGTTTTTATTTGAATTAGAAACAAGATTGTTTTACCTGTCAATCCCAGTTCCGTTCTCCCTCCCCTCCTCCCCTACCACACCCCTCAAATAAACCCACCTATCACATATCCTTTCTTCTAATCTATACCAGACTCAACCTTTCTGCTCCCTCATGACCTCTGCATCCTTCCTCTTCTTCCCTTCTCACTCTTGTAGTTCCCTCTGCCCTCTTCCCATGCTCTCAATGTGCTCAGGGGATCATGACCATTTCCCCTTCTCCAGGGGACAAAGTTTGTCCCTTTTATGGTCTTCCTTGTTTACTATTTTCTCTGGCAGTGTGTATTGTAGGCTAGCAATCCCTTATGCTATGTTTAAAATCCACATATGAGTGAGTACATATCATGTTTGTCTTTTTGTGATTGGGTTACCTCGCTCAGAATGGTTTCTTCAAGTTCTATCCATTTTCCTGCAAATTTCAAGATTCCATTGTTTTTTT